TGCAAAGCATTAATTCCCCTCAACTGTGTATTTTTTTTTCTTTTGCCCAGTCCTGCCTGGGCCTTGAACTCTAGGCCTGGGTGCTGTCCCTGAGCCTCTCTGTGCTCAAGGGTAGTGTTATACATCACTTGAGCCACAGGGCCACTTCCTGCTTTTCCTAGTTTATTGGAGTTGAGTCTCAAGGACTTTTGTGTCCTGGCAGGCTTCGAACTGTGATCCTCACCTCTCATGAGTAGCTAGGATTACAGGCATGAGCCACTGGGACTCAGCTTGTGTATTTCAGGTGCTTCCCCTGGGCTTTTTCTTTGCTCAAGGTTAGCATCCTATTACTTGAGCCACAGCTTCATTTTGGCTTTTTGGTGGTTAACTGGAGGGAAGAGTCTCATGGACTTTTCTGCCTGGGCTGACCTCAAACTGCAATCCTCAGATATCAGCCTCCTGAGCAATTAGGATTACAGGTGTAAGTCATCAATACCTGGGCTATATATGTATCAATTTTTAACAATGGAAATTAGCAGTCAATCTGAAGCTTTGCTGGGTATTTATTATACTAAGAAACCCTCTGGGGGGGACAACAATAGTAAAAGGCAACAAAGGAGGATGCAACAATGCTTGATAAGAAATGTACTCATTACCTTGCTCATGTAATTGTAACCCCTCTGTACGGTATTTTCACAAAAAAACTTATCAATATTAAAAAAAGAAACCTTCTAACGTTTGAGCAGGAACAGTAACTAAAAATAAGTTACAAATGAAAAATTAAAGTGATGGCTAATGCCAAAAAGAATTCAAGCCATATTATCACTTTAAGTAATTATTTAGGCCTGGGAATGTGGCTCAGTGGTAGGAGTGCTTGCCTTGCATGTATGAAACCCTAGGTTTGATTCCTCAGCACCACATAAGCAGAAAAAGCCAGAAGTGGTGCTGTGGCTCAAGTGGTAGAGCTGAAGAGCTGAGAGACAGCGCCCAGGCTGAGAGTTCAGGCCCCATGACTGACCAAAAAAAAAAAAAAGTATTATGTTGCTCTGAAACTTAATGAAACAACAACAAAAAAAAGTTGATCAAGAAGAAAAGCTAGGAGCTAGTGGCTCAGGCTTGCAATGCTATCTATCTACTCAGGACACTAAGTTGAGAAGACCATGGTTCAAAGCCATCCATGGCAGGAAAGCCCACAAGACTCATGGCCTAAAAGTACCTAGTACATAGATACCCCACTACTAGCACACACAAAAACATATACACAAAAAAAGAAACAAAAAAAGGGTAAGTTAGGAAACAGAATTTTCTTCAATACAATTCCTAATTATACAAGAAATGGGACTGAATACAGCACAGAAACTTCTAAGTACACTGCAATTTTATTGTAATTATACAAAAAAACAGGTATCTCTACAGTACATACTGTTCACCAAAATGGTACATTACCACAATTCTCTATATTTAATCTACAGATAACTGTGGCATCATTAAATGTTTGGTACATAAACCTTAAAAAAAAAAAAAACACCCAGCCAGGCATTAGCAGCTCGTGCCAATAGTCCTAACTACAGAGGAGGCTGATATCTGAGAATATTAGTTCCAAGTCAGCAGGCACATGAAGTCCATGAGATTCATATCCAATTAACTACCAAAAAATAAAAGGAGTTGTAGCTCAAGTATTACACTGGCCCTGAGCTAAAGCTCAGGGCCAGGGCCCAGACCCAGAGTTCAAGACCTACAATGGAGATGAGGAGAGTTCATTTTAGAGTCCAATAACTGCACCAGGCTCAACTTGTTTCTTCCTTAGGTAATAAAAACTGTCTTGTTGAATGGCAGATACTCATGCTGATAACCCTAGCTACTTAGATTGAAAATTACCCTTAGAAGTCAGCCCAGGCAGCAGAGTCCATCATTCTTACCTGTAATAATCAAAAAGCCAGACACGGACTGGGAAGGTGGCTCAGTGGTACGTATTTGCCTGACATGCATGAGGCCCTGGGTTCGATTCCTCAGACTCACATAAGCAGAAAAAGCTAGAAGTGGCACTGTGGCTTATAGTGGTACAAGCCCTGAATGTGAAAGCCCAGGGAGAGTGCTCAACCCTTAGTTCTTGCCAAAGGACCTGCACATGCACGCTTGCACACAAACACAAAATGGGTCATGCAACTTACCTACCTACATTCCATCTCTACAAATTCACTTTTTGGACAGATTCTCATATTACAACAGAACATGATCTTCATTAAGAGGTAAGATAAAAGGGCTAGGAGAAGGTAGCTTAGACTGCTTGCCTAGCATTCATGAAGCCCTGTTTAATTCCTCAGTACCGCATAAACAAAAGAAGCCAGAAATGATGCTGTGGCTCAAGCGCCAACCTGGAGCAAAAGAAACTCAGGGACAGTGCACAGGCTGAGTTCAAGCCCCAGGACTGGCAGAAAAAAAGGTTAGATAAAGCCATGCTCTGGTAGCTCACACCTGAAATCCTACTCAGGAGAATGAGATATAAGGATCATGATTGAAAGTCAGTTTGGCAGTTAAATCAAGACTCTCATTACCAATTAATCAGAAAAAAGGAAGTAACAGTGTGCTTCGTGTATGTAGTAGAAAAGCCAGCTTAAGCTGAAATCACATAACAAGTAGCAGACCCCCAAAAAGAGGTCAGATGATTCAACATACACATTCATGATAGCAAGTATTTTCTGATTAATAGTCTCGAAGGGATTCACCATTTAATCAATTCAATTTATGGTTGAATTGTTTTAAATATTTATTTTGCATTATTTCAAACTTATACAAACTGTGTTACACTTGTGTTAATTTCAGTATCTTCAAACTTCAAAAATGTTTGCTAAAGCCGGGTGCCGGTGGCTCAGGCCTGTAATCCTAGCTACTCAGGAGGCTGAGATTTGAGGATCACGGTTCAAAGCCAGCCCAGGCAGGAAAGTTCGTGAGACTCCTATCTCCAATAAACCGCTAGAAAACTGAAAATGGTGCTGTGGCTCAAGTGGTAGAGTGCTAGCCTTGAGCTGAAGAGCACAAGGACAGCGCCCATCCGCAGAGTTCAAACCCCACGACTGACCAAAAAAAAAGTTTGCTAAAAAGCTCACCAAATTTAGCCAAGTGTTTGCTTATACCTGCAATTCTAGCTGCCCAGGAAGCTGAGATCTGAGAATCAAGCCAGCATAGGCAGGAAAGTCTTTTTTTGTATTTCCAGTAAATCATCAAAAAAAAAAAAAGTGGATCTGTGGCTCAACTCAAGTGTTAGCCTTGAGCAAAACAGTTCTGGGAGAGCACCCAGGTACTGAGTTCAAGCCTCAGGATTGGCACTATTCCCCTCAAAAAAAAAAAAGACAATGCATTTAAGGGAAAAAAGCAGGCTGGGAAAGTGGCTTAGTAGTAGAATGCTTGCCTAGCCTGGAAGAAGCCCTGGGTTGATTCCTCAGTACTACATACAAAGAAAAAACTGGACGTGGTACTGTGGCTTTAGATTAATAGCTCTGAGCAAGAAGCTCCAGGCTCTGAGTTCAAGCCCCAGGACTAGCAAAAAAAAAAAAAAACTGGGTGCTGATAGCTCATGCCAGTAAATCCTTGCTATTCAGGAAGATCTGTGGATTGTGGTTAGAAGCCAGCCCAAATAGAAAGTCTGTAAGACTCTCATCTCCAATAAACCACTCAGAAATAGCCTTAAGTGGTACTGTGGCTAAAGTGGTAGAGCTCTAGCCTCGAGCAGAAAGACTCAAGAGACAGCACCCAGGCCTTTTGTTGAAGCCCCACAACTGCCAGTAACTCATCTCTGTAAATTTTAAATTTTAAGCATTTAAGTGGCACTGTGGCTCAAATCGTAGAGTGCTAGTCTTGAGCAAATGCAGCTCAGAGAAGCATCTAGGCTGAGTTCAAGCTCCCAGGCTGGCAAAAAAAAAAAAAAAAAAAACTTGAGTACCTTATTGCCAAATCATTTGAAGAAACAACTTCAAGCAACTTTCCTAAGTAAAATTAAATCAGCTTAGGCTCATTAGAAACCCCTTCAATAAACTCACAAATAACCGTTGCAGCACTGGTGGCTTACACCTGTAATCCTAACTACTCAGAAGGCAGATAGGAGAATTGAGGTTTGAAGCCAGCAGGAAACGGTGAGATTCATCTCTATTAATACTCAAAAAAAGCAGGAGGTTGTGCAATAACTCAAGGGGATTTAACAAGTAACTGTTGAGAAACACACACAAAAGGCTTAAACATTTCCAGAGCCTCTGACCTAAACCATGTCAACTAAAGTGTATTTACTTGTCTGTGCAATGAAACCAAGTGGACCTCACACCTCTTACCATCACCCAGGAAGGGTGTGCATCTGTTCCGAAGGCCCCCCTGGCTCCAGGTCATCCTGGCTGATGCTGCTCCCAGGCTGGGCATCCATGTTGCTGCGGCTTGTGGTTTGTGAAGGGTAGTGTACAGGAAAAGCAGGATGGGATTTCAAGGGAAACAGGAGGAAGATGGCTTTCTGGGAAAACGCCATCACCATCATAGGTGTTAAGTAGTACCACACACATTTTATTGCAGCACAGTTTAAAAATTTAACAAATGAAAGATTAAAAATAAAAAAACAAAAATAAAAAAATGAAAAATACAGACGTCCAGAGATGCTCTAAAACAGTTAAGTTAAAGATAAGGAAAAATAAGGTCACAGACTTAACAGCCAGTAAAATTACTTCCAGTGTGGGGAAGGGGGTTGAGGGCAAGGGTGGGGTTGGGAGAGAAAAGGTTTATGTGATCAATCCACTTAAAAATACTAATGCCTTCACTTTCTCTCCCAAGATGCAAAACTCCAAAGTCAATCAGGAGGCCGAAGAATTCTTATGAACATTCAGAAAAACTCGATTTTAATCTGGTTAAAAATCATCATCATCATCATCATCATCACCATCATAAGTATAATAGTAAATAAATAATAATAACTAGCAACAACAATAAAAAGGAAATCAGCGGAAAGTCAGGAAAAATGTAAAAAAAAAATTGGAATAACTTACTGTAGCTGAAGATCAAAAAAATCTCACTGTAAAAAAACAAAAATAAAAATAGCCCAGATTAGAAAAACTGGAGGTGCAAAAATGTCAAGTCAGTAAAGTTCAATTCTTTTCTCTTCCCAAAAGCAGTTTCCACAAAAACCGCCAGGGTAATGTTCTCAATAGCAGACAAGCAAAGCCCTTTCCACATCATCAATTAAATCTTAAAAATACACGAGGAAATAGAGAGGTCAGTTTATGAGAGGCTAAAAGGCTCCTCCTCCTCTAACCCAACTGCTGCAGAAAAAATAGAAATAGAAACTTTAAAAATTACATCTTAAATCCAGGTCCCGTTTTTCTTGAAACAATTTAAAAAAAAACACCTGTAAATTTGCTGTAGTGCACACCAAGTTGCATCATTATGTTTAAAATGTAGTTATAAAATCAGTTTTAGAATGGGAATGTGTGTGTTCTGGAAAGGTGGGGAAGGGAGGTTAAAAAAAATCAAAGCTGAGCTCCAGTGAGTAGGGATGGGGTTCGCCTTGCTGCCCTGTGAAAGGAGAAGGGACAGATTGAGTCAGAGTTCCTCAGAAATGTTGTGCCCTAAACCCCCAAGACAGAAACATCTGTCTGTTGCATCTAACACATTTTGGTAAAGCATAACATTTCACTGGGATGGGGAGAGCTTTTATAGAATCATTACATCTACCAGTGACTTTTTTATTTTTATAACTCTTCAACATCAATAGATGGTTAAAATTTACTAAATTCATGTACCTACATTCTTTAGGGGCTCTTGGTGAATGTTGGTAATCAGCAGTTTGGGAAAGGAAAAGAGAAAAACAATTCAAAAAAAAGAAATGGAATAATACTGAGATTATGGAGGTAAGCAGATTAATGATCTTTAAAGTTTAAGTTCATGTATTGTTTCCTGTTTGTAATAGTCAGAAGGTGCATGGTCTATCGTTCTCTACACAAGATGACTCATCTGTTTGCAAAACCCGAGTGATTAAACCACAAAATTTCATGGTTAGGGAGAAAGATGATTTAAATAAGGAGCCATTTTTTTCCACTAAGGGAATGAAAATGATCATATATATGGAAGAAAAGATTATAGTCTCATCAGTTAATATAACAGGTTAAAACTGTAGTCCTTGGGGCTGGGAAGTTGGCTCAGAGGTAGAATGCTTGCCTTGCATGCATGAGGCGCTGGGTTTGATTCCTCAGCACCACATAAGCAGAAAAAAGACAGAAGTGGCACTGTGGCTCAAGTGGTAGAGCGCTCGCCTTGAGCTGAAGAGCTGAGGGACAGTGCCCATGCCCAGAGTTCAGCCCCCACAACCAACCAAAAAAAAACCCACACTGTGGTCCTTATGGAATGTTTCTGTGCCTTTTCTAGTACATTTGGCTAATTCCAAAGTATGAAGGAGCTGAGACATTAATACTAAAATAGGTAACAAAACTGTTTGTTTCATCATCTAAAACTGCTGTTAGTCTATCTCACTGTGCAAATAAGCATGGTTGTATTCACACTTGTATATTCAGCCATGAGGTCTTATTCTTCATATATAGTGAACAAAAATTTAAACTAAGACAAATTTTATTTTTACATTTGATGTATAAAATTAAACGAATGTAAACCAAGATTATGTACTGAACTGCTGAAAATGCACATTTAAATGTTACTTCATTTTGTAAAGAATCACAATTCAACTTTTTATTGTTGGTGGTCATGGGGCTTAAACTCAGGTCCTAGATATGTCTAAGCTCTTTTTGCTGAAGTCAGCAGCTCTACCACTTTGAGCCACAGCTCCACTTCCAGTTTTCTGGTTGTTAATTGGAGATGAGTTTCCTAAACTTTCCTGTCCAGGCTGGCTTTGAACCAGGATCCTTTTATCACATCCTTCTGAGTAGCTAGGAATACAGGCATGAGCCACCCGTGTCCAGCTTAACAATTTTATTTGGGGTCAATATAAAAGAGGCACCCTAATTTTCAGGATTTATGACTCATCCATAAATCCTTTATATATGTGCCACAAGGCTTAAAAATCAGTAATAAGAAAATTATTTTTATCTTTTGGATCATTTTTTTTTGGGTCCGGTCATGGGGCTTGAACTCTGGGCCTGGGTGCTGTCCCTCAGCTCTTCAGCTCAAGGCTAGCGCTCTACCACTTGAGCCACAGTGCCACTTCCGGCTTT